AAATTAGGCCTCATTATCATAAGAACAGAAATTATCATTAAAGCCATGAGAGTAGAGAAGCTCACTGAAATAGGAGATCAGATAGAGAATAGAAGATTGAGGATTACCCTATGAAATCCCATTGGTTTGAAGATGTGAATCACTTGGGACACTTTGGGTTGCAAGTGGCAGAAAATCCAACCTAAGCTGGTTTAAGCAGTGTCACATTGGTGAAAATTTCCAAACCAGTGCTGTTCTTAGGCATGGCAAATCCATTAGGTTTCTTCCTTCTGTATTATACTGCTTCAGCCTCAGGCTCCACCTGGTAACTGCCAGCAGCTCTGGGGCCTTCATTATCTTAACAAAGAATTATTATACCTCAGAGTTTTCACTGGATCTCATGCTCATTCCTGAACCAAATCAAACTCCAGAGAATATCAAACATGAAAATCCATAAAGTTTGGCAAGTTCCCAGTCCTGCTATGACTACTTCCTGGAAAATCAGGTACTGGATCCTGCTGTCACTGGAATATAGCTATAGCTGGGTCAGTACCTGCCTCAATTGCAAGGTCTCAGTATCTCAGGCACATTTTACCTCGTCCAGGCCTCCTCAGTGCTCACCTGAGTCTGACCCACTTTCTTTCTTCTTGTTCCAGGATTCCACATGTTTTCCTGACCAATGGCTTCCTAATTTTGTCCCATTTTCCTGAGGTTTCAGTCCCTACCTTTATCTCTGTTCTCTTGAGAATTCTAGCTATCCCATTTTCTCTGCCCAAGCAAAAAAGAATAGGATTTATATGACAATAGGGAAGTGTTCATGTGTTTAACAGTGCATACAGTGACACAAAAGCTGTCAACATTTCTATATTTGTTTTTGTAATAATTCAAGTCTAGAATTCTTTTTCATTCTCTCCTTAGCCCAGTTAATAGATACTTATAATTGTGTAACTTTCAGAGGTTAAGAAGAGCCTCCCATCAACCCTGCTCAAGTTCTTTGAGAATAGTCACTTTCTGAATAATATATGTAAGGTATGATGATACAGGTTTTTTCATTCTAAGGCTAATTTTTTAAAGACACAACCTCAGAAAGTAATTTAGACAGTACAAAATCAGTATTATGAAGTAGTTCCTGCATAGTTGAAATATCTAGTAAGATCTTAAATCTGTATGTACTGTGTTATCTCTACAAGGATAAGATTTTATCATATGCTTACAAATTTTCTTGTATAAATGAAGCTGCAGTAAAGTGAGAAAGGCAGTCTTATTTATCTGTATGTTCCAGACAAAATATTGTCAAGCCTGTTCTTACAGAGATTTCAGAAATAAGTATGAGCCCTTTCTGTTGATAGTCTTTTCTTTGATAATTACCTTTGCTTCTATAAAGTTGTCTTTTATGTCTGTCTTAGTTCTTTTGCTTTAATTTTGACTACTCCAAGTGATATTTTAGGGCATTTTGGAAACAAACACATCAAAAGGGGTACTCAGCAGGTTTCTCACAATCCTGGAAAAAGGTTACGAATAAGGAAAGGGAGGCTAGAAAGTGCCCTGTGGTGCTGGATTACAATCAGAGGTATCAGTATAAATTCATATTTTTTAACATATTTACTGATGGATACAGAAACAAATATAGATGTGTATATATACATGGGTAAGTATACATGTATATACTTCTTATCTCTTTCTGCTGAGAGTGCCTAGACATCCCAGTAGAAATGTGCATACTCTACCATTCAGATTTTGGTTTCTAGATACCATTCTTCAAAAAAAGAAACCTATGGGCCGGCCTGGTGGCGCACTGCTACAGTGCGCCGCTTGGGAAGCGCGGCGGCGCTCCCGCCAAGGGTTCGGATCCCACATACAGACCGGCCGCTCACTGGCTGAGTGAGGAGTGGGGGCAACACCGAGGGTTGCGATCCCGTTGCCGGTCCCGGTCCAGTACGGGCGCGACACTGAGGGTTGCGATCCGTTGCCGGTCACGAAAAAAGACAAAAAAAAAAAAAAAAAGAAAAGAAACCTAAACTCCTTGGAGAAATGGCCAATGCCAGAGATAGGATGGGGAAAATACAAGATGGGACTGAAATATCTTGTGTCCAGAAAGTAGAGAAGTTCTCAAAAAATGATGGGGGATATATTGAAGGGAGACAGGAGCCAACTTGAAGGAGCTCCCAATGGTCAAAGCTGGTTCAATTTTTGCAACAAAGTGAATAATGACAGTATTGGGTTATAACACATAAAATGAATATTCTTGAGTCCATACAAATAAAATGATTTAACTAGGAAATGGGATACAGGGGCCAGCTTTAAATAAGGGAAATAGGAAACCATCATTATCACACACCACAGTAATAATCACTACAAGTGAGAAACGTCGATGTATGCTAACATAGGTGGGTGAAAGTTTGATAAAAACAGAGGATATTTGCATAATCCCTAAGTATCTCCCCACAAGATATTTATTATTTACGTAGGGGAAAATGGTAACTTTACAGTGGCAAAATCTGTGAGACACCACTTTAGTCATGAGACCAGAGTTAATATTACCAGTAATAAAACATCAGTATTATGTACCCCTTATAATATGATGCACTAAGGACATCAGTGCTGTGATATTCTTGCCAAAAATGCATAACTAATCATGAGAAAACATCAGATAAACACAAATTGACAAACACTCTGTAGAATAATTGGCCTGGAATATTAAAAAGTATCAAGATCATGAAAGACAAAGAAAGGTATAAGATCTATCATAGATTAAAGAAGACTAAGGAGACTTAACTAAATTCATTGGGGATTCTTCTATGTTGGATCCTCTACCAGAAAAAGGAAATAGGTGGGAAAAATGGCAAAATTTAAATAAGACCTATAGATTACTTAATTGTATTATATCAACATGAATTTCCTGGTTTTATTATACATACTATAGTTATATAGCTGAGTAAAGTGTATATGGAAAGTTATTTTAAAATACGAATTTTTGTGTGTGTATGTGTTTTTTTTTCAAAGGAAGAGGATTTGGAGTAGATGGCTTCTAAGGTCTCTTTCATCCAGCCTTATTATTCTGTTACAGTGATACAGAAGGAAGAATGCCAAATGTTTAGGCACTTTTATTTCCTCTCTACCAATTAAGAAACATGTTGAGGCAGCTGAAAAGAGGATCAGATTCTAAACTGTCAATTCAGTTCAGTGGAACATGTCCTGAATAGCTACTGTTGTCCCCAGTACCACACTGGGTAACACGATCCTTGCCTACACGACAGTCAGTCTACTAGGGCTCCCTTTTAATCACTTAGATTACTAAGGTCAGGTCTCTGTTCCTTGACATTTTAAAATAATGTAGTTAAGAGAGAATGAAATAGAAATTGATAAGTCTTGGAAAATTATCCAAGGAAGGAAGAACCTTCAAAGAGGGCCCAGGATTTTTCTATCTGGGTGCCCGGAGAGATAATAATAACCATTAAATAAAATAAGCAGCCTAAGAGGGCTTTGGTATTAAACACTTTGTGTATGGGGAACCACTAGGACATTCATATGAAGATTACTGCCAGATAATTGAGTATGTCAGTGTAGGGTATGAAGATGCATGTATTTGAGAATAAAGGGTGAGGTAAACCTGACATTCCCTTATACTTTTATAATCTCATTTTGACAAATTTCTGGATGATGAATTGATATGCTTCATTTAACAGGTATTTAAACAGATATTTTGCTGAGAAATCTTAAATATTTCAGGAAATGAATGCAGTTAAGCCAGGAAGTTATGACTTAAGTTATAAACTTTTTTTAAAAAGATGGTTTTTGATTCTTGGGTATTTTGGGGGCTCATTTCTGTTTTTTTATTTTCTGTTTTATTTTTTATTTAGTTATTTCAAAGTAACTTTATAAATAAAACAAGTTTCAGTGGCACAATGTATTTGATGAAAAAATTTAAGAAACTGATTACCACCATGATAATTTTTTAACAGAAGCCTCAGCTCTAATGCTTTTGTGGGTATGATGCCTTCTCTGGAGGATTAGAGGTTGTGCATCTTATTTCTGCAGTAGAAACATACAACATATATGAAGTTTTCAAGTCTCCACAGAATTGAAAAGTCAATGTGGGTACTGTACTTTGAAACATGTGTATACTGTGGGCCTAAGGTGATTTTTAATCTTTCATCTTTTTTAAGGATCAAATATCATTAGAAAAATAAGCCATGGGCATTACAGACGTGGTCTGGTGAAATTTAATATTCACAATGACAATTTAGAATATGAGCTCCTTGGGAGAAAAGTTAACTCACCAGTCTAAGTTTGCATCTAAATATCTTAAAGTGTGTCGTTAGTTTTATGAAAAGGTTTTGATCTACACTCTTAGTTTAAGTTCAAAAGAAAACCTACATTTCAAAGTATATTCCTTTTCTGGGTGTATTTACTTTGAACTATATCATATAGTTTTTCTCATAAATCTAACCTGCCACTATCTGTTTTTAAAACTTTGTAAACTTCAAGTGGTTATGATGTGTGAAGTTTGGATTAAACTAAAATTTTTAGAAAACACATGTTATATATTTTGATTGTTTTGAATTTTAACATGGGCCAGTCAAAAACTTGAGTGTCTAGCAAAGTAATATACTGTACTATGTTACTGTAAGAAATCACAGAAAATTGCCCTTTCTGATCATGTTAACGATAGACAAATGAAGCAGCTGTTCTTATTCTTAATGTAGTTGTTTGAAAACTTGCACAATTTAATGAAAACGTCTCTATTCATAAAACTTAAAATGCTCACAGATGGAAAAAGTCATAATGTTTGGCAAATATTGCATTGTTAAGAATGTGAATGATGTTTACCTGCTTCATAACTAGTTCTATATAAATGGCATGAAACTGTGGTGGAAAGCCAACTGAAATAAAAGAGTCTAACAAAGGATGAATTAACAATCTTAAAAAATACAGACAGTTGTTTCCCAGACATCTTTTTGACAAGGAAGAATGATAATATATACCCCTTTCCATTTCTTCTTTTTCTTTTTTCCTCTCAGGCATAATTCTTGGGTCATCATTTCTACTCAGCATAAATGATTTTCTCCTTAAAACAAGTCTCAAAGAAAGAAGTCGGATTCTGATAGGACCATGTTGTGCTACTGCCAATCTGGAAGCTAAATGGTGTAAACACAGTGGCAATCCAGGCCCAGAACAATCCATACCAAAAATATCTGTCGATTTAAGAGGAGGTCTGCTACAGGTCTGTGGGGATTGGCCATATTTTTCCCATAAGTTTTTAACTAGCCTTTGTTCATTTTTCAAACTATTTCACTAAATTTTAAATCTCTGTGTGGTGAAAAAGGATATTGTCAGATTGCTATCTTATTGAATTTTTAATAACTATTGAGATATAATTTATATGCTATATAATTCACCTATTTAAAATGTACAATTCAATGTTTTTTAGTATATTCCCAAAGTTGTACAACCATTACCACAGTCAATTTTAGAACATTTTCACTAGCATGCCAAAAAAACCCTGTACCCATTAGCAGTCATTCCCCGTTACTCTCTAACCCCCCCTCTAGGCCTACATACCACTGATCTGCTTTATGTGTCTACAAAGTTGCCTATTCGGCTCATTTCATATAAGTGGAAACATATAATATATGGACCTTTATAATTGATTTCTTTCACATAGCATAATGTTTTTAAGGTTCATCCATGTTTCAGTAGGTGTCAGTATTTTATTCCTTTTTATGGCTGAATAATATTCCATTGTATGTATATACCACATTTTATGTATCCATTCATCAGTTGATGGACATTTGGGTTCTTTCCACTTTTGGCTATTATGAATAATGTTGCCATGAACATTTCTGTACATATGTCTGTGTGGACATATGTTTTCTCTTCTCTTGGTTATAAAACTGGGAGTGGAATTGGTGAATCAAACTTTTTTTAATGTGTAGACTTTTCTAATCACATAGTAGTCAGCCTGTCTCTAGCAGAGTGTCACTGGCAATATATAAAAATCATTTCCTAATAGTAGGTTTCTTAGATGTTGTGATGTCTGATTACTAACACTTGATATACGTCATATTACAACTTCTTATGCATTGTCATACAGCAAGTATGGAATGTGTGAGGGTATCCAACTTATTTCTTGATAATTTTTCATTTAGATAGATTTTAATCTAATGTTTGTGATTTGATGTCCTCCAAACTTGACACGAATCCAAAAAGTTTGAGGATTTACAGTGATAGAAAATTGAAATGACTAATTTGTCATTACTGGAAGCATATTAAACATGAATTTCTTGTTTTCGTCTAAAAGTTGGATTGCCCCAACTTTTCTTAATGACTCAGAGCAAGATTTGGGGAAATCCTAATAACTTATTGCTTTGTGTTGCTTTAGAGATTTTCAGCATCTGTCAGAAATCATCACATATTTAGCAATAAGCACATGGTTTTGTGTTGCTTTATCGAGAATATTAATTGTATTACCTTTTTTCCAAGGTAGCAAAGTAACTCCACATTAAAAACAGCAATAAGAGAAAAAATTAAGTATGTCATCTCTACATTATAGTTAATGACTGTCTTTTTGACATTTGAAGGCTGGCTCATGGCTTTTCACCTATTTCTATTTTTCAACTTGACTTTTCACCTATTTTTATTTTTCAGCATCTGATAAAAATAAGATGGATGAGAACAAAAGTAGACTTAGTGTTATATCTCTTACTTTCATTTCTGAAATGCCTTAATTCCAGAGAGAAGAACCTAAGCCTAGGGTTTAAAACTTACCCACAAGGTATAGGGATATTCTTTTCCACCTCTGTATATTCTTTTGTATTCTCTGTGTTATCTGGTTCTCTTAGAATTAATAGTTATATTGCCTTTATTTAATATATTCAGAGAAGCTTAACATTATTGAAATTTTTAAACTCTGACATTAATCATTAATTACCTACTGGTCATAAATCTGTCATAGACTAATATCATTTACATGCAGAAAAAGAAAACTTAATCTTCTCCTTAGAGGAAGCACCAAGTCCTTTTGTTCTAAAACTATTGTAGCTCCTGTACAGTTGATTCTCAGGGGCTGTGGAATCAATACTGTTTGTTGGCACATTCTCATTACACAAAGAAGTTGGGAGCCTTCTAAATTCAGGTTCATTGAGCAGGTTCCCTCTCTTTTTCTCTGAAGAGTAAAAGTACAAAGAAAAGAACCCTATAATCAGGATTGTTTATTTAATCTCATGACAAAATGTAGGAAGCTATTTCACAAGGTTATTATTATTGTGTTAACATTTTGGCCTAGAGGATCTTCATTATCTTCTCTTGGAGTGTAGTAGGTGTTCTTTTCCCTCTTAGCTAAATTAACTCAAACATTACACACAGCAACATAATTTCATCATCAACATACCATTTAAAATGTATTGTTATTCTTACAATATATGATATAATTGATTTTCTTGTTATGTATCTACTCAAGTAATAGAATTTCATCCTGTAGGTCAATTACTTCTTAGAAATTATAGTTTATTATCAGTAATTAAATTGAGCCTAATTAACAGTCTTACATTAATTCACACATGATTGTACCAATTATCCTCAAGAAATGTTTGTATTTAAAAACCACCAGAATTTTTCATATGATTTTAAAGGTCTTCTGGGGTCAAGAACATTTGAATTGTTTAGTTCTTCTACATGAATTACTCAATGGATACCTTAATGAGGAGGCAAATTTTGAAGTGCAAGTTTCTGAACCGGTGCCTCAAATGCCATCTCCTATGGACAAGAATCAGACCTTTAAAAGTGAATACAGTTCAGATGACCTACGGACAGGTCTATTTCAGTATATACATTCTCACAATTTTCCCTTTCTTTAATAAGCCAACCTGTTCCCCTTTAAAAGCATACAATTAATTGTACTTTTATTTGACAGAACCTTTGAAACTGCCTGGTGTCTATGAAGTCTTGTTTTATAATGAAACCGAAGATAGCCCAGGGATGATGTTATGGAGGTATCCAGAATCTAGAGTGCTCACCCTTGTACGAATAACTCCTGTGCCTTTCAACACCACAGAGGATCCAGATATTAGCACAGCAGACCTTGGTGATGTGCTACAGGTATGTAATAACTGTTGATTTTAAAATAAAAACATTGTGAGAAAGTACTGCTCATATATTAGGATAAATGTTCAGAATACACATTTCTTACGTGAATACTATCAGAGAGAAATGCGCACACACACAGACAAAAGAAATTTTAAAATAAAGAAATAATGTAATTCATATTCATGGTACATGGTGATTTCTACAGTTCTCAGTTCCACTCTTCATCCTGTTGTGGGTAGTTTACATTGTCTTATGTGATATCCTGTTGTGGATAGGTTCCAGGGTAATGAGACAAGTAAGTGTCATTCATTTCAGTACACACTTATCTAGTGTGTACCATGTGTTGACACTCTTCAGAGTTTCTAGAACTGCTCTGTGAAATAAAATACGCCCATATAATGCTGGAATTGGATGACAGTAATCTTCATTTCCAGAGCTAAAAAATGGTCTTGGCTTGAAGTAGGCTGATTTTCCTATCAAGGAAAACCATTTAATCAGTGATCATATTGCCTGTGATTTTACGAAAGTTTGTTGCTTATTTCCCTGAGTTTAATGTAAATGTCATTGTGCATATCACTGTATTATTATTATACTTATTAATATTCTGCTGATCTGAATTTCTCCTAAAATTTGTTTCTCTCTTAGTCTTCCACCAGTTTACTAGGTCACACAACCATCCACTCAAAACCTAGGAGTCATTCCTCATTGCTCTCTTTCCCTAACTACCCATATCTAACCCATCAACAAGTCCTGTCCATTCTACCTTCAAAATATGTCCCTATTCCACCTACTTCTCTCCGTTTCTACTGGTACAGCTTGAGTCCAAAATACCGTCGTCTGTTCCCCACTACAGTAGCTTCCTAACTGGTCTTTATGTGTCCATTCTTGACTATTCGTAATGGATTCTCCAAACAGCAGCTACAGTGATATTCTTAAAATTTAGGTCATATCACATCACTCCCCTGACTTAAAACCCTGTGGTGGCTTTTCCTAATACTTAGAACAAAATTCAAGTCTCTTTCGGAGGTCTGTGATTGGGCTCTGTACACCTTTCTGACTGGAACTCATGCCAGAGTCCAGTCCCTTTGTCCCTATGCTCCAGTCACACTGGCTACCTTTTTCTCCTCAAGCAACCACCTCCGTCATTTAATTATTATCTAAATTCCTGTTTTTAATACATTTAGTCCAATGTTCATCTTCTGAATTCATAGCAATGAAACATGTCATCATCTTGTCAAATGAACTAGAGTGTGCAGAACAATCCAGATTGCCACTTGTCAAATGAACTAGAGTGTGCAGAACAATCCAGATGCCAGCAGTCTCTACTTTGATTCTTAAGTCCACAGATTCGTTTCCCCTCCTATCAAGGACATATTCATGATTACGTTTTCTGCCGGTATTCTTTGATTATTTTTGCTAAATGAAAAAGCAATATCATTGAATTCTACTGTCTTATTAAAGTTGCCTAAATGCAGAATATCTGTAGATTTTCAATCAGAATGAGAATACTCGTATATTAAAGTTTAGCACCATGTAAGGGCTTCTTTCCAACTGATTTTTAGGTTCAGATTTATAGCTAAATGTTAATATATTTATTAACTTAAGTCTGGTGATTATTAGTAGTAATATTATGTCAATTTTATCAAATAGGGCATCTAAGTTAGTAAATGCATTCACTAGTGGCATGTTCTCTAATTTCTCTGTGCTCTTTGAGAAACAGGACTGTGTAATAGTTCAAGAGGACGAACTACAGCCAGAATGTCTGAGTTCAGGTTCTTGCTCTGCCACTTGCAAACAGCGTCACATTAGACAAATTACTTAACCTCTCAGCCTTGGGGGGTTTTTTCCAACAATAACATAAGACTAATAATAATGCGATGATTATAAGAATTGATATTTGTAAAACATGTATAACAGTGCCTAGCATATAGCAAGTGCTCTATGAGTATTACCACTAATACTGCAATGACTATTGTCAGAACTCTTTCTCAGGCAGAAGCACAGGCAAGACCAGGGAGAGCTGGATGACTCTACAGGCCAACTGAAGTAGTCCAGGAGATCTGAGACAGTTTCAGGATCCAGGCAGTGGACTTGACATATAAACATGAAGGAAGTCTGGCAGGTTTCAGCAAACAAAGAGTTGGGATCAGAAAGGTCTTGTCATGTTTTATATTTTGTTGGAGAAATAAGGAATCAAAATGTGGGCAAAGTTCAAAGAACAGGGATGCTGGTCTAGTGAGCAAGACAGGGTTGCAGCTGCTGAAAGTTGAAAGAAAGAACTTGATCCTAGTGGTGAGAAGGAATACCAAGAGTTAACAACTTGGATGGAGGAACAGAGCAGGACTGGCAGCAAGGCCGACTGGAGGCCATACTGCTGAGCTCCTGGTCTAATTTTCACATTCTCCTGACTAGGAGCAGAATTTGTCCCAGGACATGGGGTGGATCTCATCTATGGAAACAACCCTCTGAGTTGAAATCTTAGAACCGTGCAAACTATTTTGTTTCCTTGGAGCTTCTGTTGAGAACAGAAAATATGTAGCATGAATCACAGGTTTGATTGAATACAACAGCTTTTTCTCTGAACACCTATAGTGCCAGACCCTGGTTTTGCTCCTGGAGATCCAGACAGATAAGGATAAGACACTCAGAAGTGTTAGAAGTGTTAGAAGTGTTAGAAGCTCAATCTAGAGGGAAAGTTTCTGTGGTTGTTTGGTTGTTTTTGTGGTTGTTAAGATTCTCTGTAATTTCAGATTTCAAGGAGGACCTGTCTATTGTCAGAATTATTTTCTTACTGAATGTGATTATTTCTAGGTCTGTACTGGTGGCACAGCTAAAATACTGTACAGCTTATCCTGAATTGCATGAGCTTATGAAAGGAAGGCCCTTTACCAACTTGATATAGAGAAGATAACATGGGCTTTGTAGTCTCAATTCCTGGCCCTTTTTTTTTTTTTTTTAACTAACTCAGTGACCTTAGGCAAAAGTATTGATCTCTTTGAGCTTCAATCTCCTCCGCTGAACATTGGAGTTAATGTTATCTACCTTTCAAAGTTGTTGTGGGATATTATATCAAATAGAATATTATAGCTCATGTACTTAAATAAATGCTTACAAATAGTGAGCTCTTAATAAATGTGTATTTAATTTTCTCCATTCTTTCCTGAACCACTAACAGAGATTCCTAAATGGAATTCCAGCCTTCAATTTCTCTTCCTGCCAACCTCTTTTACTAAGTTCTTAAAGGAACAGGTGGATTGTATAATTTCCTGAAGAAAACCTTCAGTGGCTCTGTCATCCTCCTTGAGGGCCCTGCATAACCTGACCCTGACCCCCAGCTTTGCTTTGCAATCCCTTAAACATGACCTATGCTCTAGTCGTAAGCAGTCTATGATCTGGCCTACTTGGCATTCTCCAAACTAGCTTGTAACATCCCACTTCCTCTTCATTTGAATCCTGTCTTCTCTACTTCTTGAAATCCTACCATACTTCCGAAACAGCTAAAACACTGTGCATTCCATGAAGGTTTCCCTGGATGCCATGTCCAAACATGATACTACCCCTCTGAAATCCTGTAGCACTTCATGGCACCACTTTTATGCTATTTTTCACCCTATTCCCCACATTTTAACTTACAGGTTCATATCTTGTCTCCCTTGTACATTGTATGTCTCTAAAGGAAGGGATCATATCTAATTTGTAATTTTATTTATTTATTTACTTATTAAGAATATTCACGAGATACAAAGCTAATTGTCACCCCTCGTGCACATGATGTGGGCCAGATTCATACTGGCAGCATACCCATTACCAGAAATTACTTTTATACCCCATGTCCCCACACAATTAACCACCAACCTTCCTCCCCTTCCCCCTCTCCTCCCCCTCCTTCCCCACTCTGCTTTGTAGCCCTAGGAATGTTCCCTCCCTCTGTAAGACCACTGCACTGCTATGGTATTTCTTTCCTTCCTTCCTTTCTCTCTTAGCTCCCAAATATGAGTGAGCACATGTGGTATTTATCCCTCTGTACTTTGCTTATTTCACTCAACATAAGTTTCTCCAAGTTCATCCATGTTGTTGCAAATGGGATTATTTCATTCTTTTTTATGGCAGAGTAGTATTCCATAGTGTATATATACCACAGTTTCCTTATCCAATCATCCATTGATGGACATTTAGGTTGGTTCCATGTTTTGGCTATTGTAAACAGAGCTGTGAGGAACATGGGAGTGCAGGTATCCCTTCAACATGATGATTTCCATTCCTCTGGGTATAATCCCAGAAGAGGGGGGATTGCTGGGTCATATGGAAGATCAATCTGTAGTTGTTTGAGAAACCTCCATACTGTTTTCCATAGTGGTTGTACTAATTTACAGTCCCACCAACAGTGCAGGAGTGTTCCCTTCTCTCCACACCCTCGCCAGCGTTTGTTATTCACCATCTTTTTAATCATAGCCAGTCTAACTGGGGTGAGGTGGTATCTCAATGTGGTTTTAATTTGCATGTCCCTGATGACTAGTGATGTTGGGCATTTTTTTAAGTATGTGTTGGCCATTTAATATGTCTTCCTTTGAAAAATATCTATTCAGCTCCTTTGCCCATTTTTTAATTGGGTCTTTTTCTTTTTCTTTTTCTTTTTTTTTTTACTGTATAATTGCTTGAGTTCATGTATATTCTGGATATTAGTCCCTTGTCAGATGCAGAGATGGCAAAAATTTTCTCCCACTCTGTAGGTTGTCTTATCACTCTCTTGATTGTTTCCTTTGCTGTGCAGAAACTTTTTAGTTTGATATAGTCCCATTTGTTTTTTTTTTCTTTTGCTGCTTGTGCTTTCAGGCTCATATTCATAAAGCCTGTGCCCTGACCTATCTGCTGAAGTGTTTCACCTATATTTTTCCCTAGTAATCTTACAGTTTCGGGTCTTATACCTAGGTCTTTAGTCCATTTTGAGTTGATTTTAGTGTATGGTGAGAGGTGCATATCTAGTTTCATTCTTCTGCCGCCGCGCTTCCCAA